ACGGTTGCGTTGGCTACCATTGTGTCAACCAATGGCATACATGTTGCTATGGCAGTTATTCCAAGAAAATCTTATTCTCCGTAAAAGTGTAATTTTAAAACCGGCCCTTAATCCGATAAATAAACTCTGTATAATAGCAACTGGCGGTTGCGTCATATCCAATTTATCTCTTTTTAATACCCGCATGTTGGAAGTGACAGAAAATTAATGTAATTAAGATATGTCGAGTCGTATGTCGGATGACGTTTGGTGTTTGTTACAGGTCACTAATAAATCTAACCCAAAAATCAATGAAGTTTGACATATCGTCTGGATAATCGTCATCTTTGTCTTTGTTATAAAGATGGAGAGAGTAAACCGACGTAGGACATTATTTTAAACTAAGTGCGTACCAGACAACAAGTCAAATAACAAAATTAATCAATATGTGACGGCCGTTTCTCTTTTCACTTCGCTATTTATGCTGAAGCCAAAACGGAACCAACGGAATTTCTACGATCAGCGTCCCCTCTAAACCAACAGCAGACCCCCATTTACGTTATCTCGACTCTGAGAAAGGAAGCAACGAGATGCGCAGTATTTGGACAACAACCCACGAATCTAAATGCCCACGTTTATCGGTAACAAACTGATTCGCGCCTACTATCCGTATGAGGCGGTACTCATGAAACTACACCCATATATAAAATTCGAAAAATTTTAACTGCAAAGAGTTCCAGAGCAATATGCCATAAATTCTGTGAAAGAGAATTGTGGTGGTTTCGCTTGCATCACACTATTCACATTCGCTGCTTCTGGATGTTTTTAATCCCTCAACCAAATAACAAGGAAATTGGGAGTGATGTCTTGTGGTTTCCTGTATCGCAGAATTTAACGAAGTGCCCGTTTTCGCCTTTGAAGTTTACATACTTTCATGACCACTCGGTACGTGAACACCCAGCATCTGGAGGCGCTTCGTTACGAAAAGGGTCGTGCCGAAAGTATTTGTGTTGGTTCTAGGAGTTGAAGATAGAAGGTCAAAATATTGATTTAAGAATCCATGGTGTGATGAACCCAAAAAAATGGGGTTGAAGTAAAATATAAAGCTAATTAGTGTGGGGAATGTTTTGTGTATAATTTAATGATTGATTTAATTTATAGAGTTGTGTTTCAGCTGCCGTTACCGTAAACAAATGCTGTAATTAATTCATCGTTTGCAACCGTTCCCGTCAAGATATTTTAATTACTCTTGTTGTCTCGGAAAGCTCTTCTCCTTTAGGCGAATTAATTTTTTAGAATTTCAGCTCCGTTAAGTCTTTATTTGCCGTTTTAGTTTTCTATGGTAATTTAAAACGAGCATTAAAGCTGCAAGGCCATCCAGGTTTACGCCAGTATTAATTTGATAAGAGACCTTTTGCCGACCTGAGAAATAGCAAGAGACAATTGGGGGTTAATTATAATTATGAATTTAGAATTATTATTATCCGGCAAATTATAAGTATGTGTAATTAGCGGTAGCTGATTATATGAGATGCAGTAAACAGCATCCGATTACGTTGTGGGGGTCTCAAAAGAAACGCTCTTAATTAAATTTCTAGGACGCAGGCCGCACAATTAATTAAACAAATTTCAATTTAATTAACCGAATACGCCGACCGGCTCGGTATTTCCTACGTTTCCTCTTCGTATTTTGGGAAATTTATATAAACGGAATGCTTAATTTAGATGGGGTCTTTATTATTTTTGCTTCGGTGAAATCATGTATGTAAGCGTAGTGAAGATTGATTTTATTATTTTAATTAAAATTTTTTGTAGTTATTATTGATAATTATTTATATTTTATTTTATATTATTTTAGTTATTAATTATAATTATTGATCATTTCCATAAATTCAGTTTGCTTTTGAAAATTAATTGTACTGCCCCAGATTTAAATTTAGTTTTCGCTTTCACAGTGTTGCTCGGGATTTTTTGAAAGAATTATTATATTATATCTTATTTCCGGCTAATTAAATTTCCTTTCTCTAATTTTATCATTTAATTTCTCGCTGCTCGCCATCAAAAGCTATTTCTGGGAAAAGGCATGCGATATTCATAGCTATTCTTCAAGTTGACTACCCACGTTATATTTTCTCATTGGTACTTTCTTCTTCCCGTGCAAATAGGCAAATAGGATGCTAAATTTCCTAGATGTACCTACTGTAATAAAATAGCCTTGTTCTAAAAATAATTGAAAAGTATGGTCGCTACCCCTGTAAGATAAAGGAAGTAAAATTTCTTTGAAAAATAAATAATAAAGTAATTTCTCTCTAAAATAAAGGTTTATATTAGTAATAAATTGTTTAACATTAATTGAATCTTTAAATACACTATTACCACTTTGATAATAGGTACTAAAAAAACATTGATAATTTTTGATAATAGATTATCTAATATCGACTGATAACATTTATTTTAATTATAACTTGTGCGATACGTGGCAACATAATATGTTTAAAAAAAGATAGGCATTCCAACAAGTATGGACGAATTTACATTTTACATAAATATTACAATTTTAGAGATAATGAATTAAATGTGTGAATAAATAAAATATTTAGATTTTCACTGAAGGCCTTGAAATTAGACTACAAGTTGTCTATTAATCAGGTGAAGTCCAAATGAATTTTAAATAATTATGAAATCTACAGTCCAAATTAAATTTAGTATTTTTCGCTAGGACAAGTTTACATGTGGATCATAACCAAAGAATTAAAGCCTGAAGGGTAAATTCGATTGATAGTTTATTTTAAAACAGGGTACATAAAAGAAATGGAAATTTTCATACAGTACGTTACCAGTTGGGTTATCTTTAAGCCCATAACAATCCAGAAAGATAATGAATGGTTTATATATACCAGGCATGTCAAATTCAATTCTCATCAAGGGCCATTTTAAAGTTTCCGCATACAGGCTGATTCAAATTCGAAGGCCACCAGGAAACTGTAAGAATAGGTAAGTTGTTGGCAAAGTTGCGTATTTTGAGTCTTAACAAAATGCCGTTTTGAAACTGAAAAAATTCCGACTACTTTCGTAGAAATTTTGCAAAATAGTTAATTTTTTACCGAAGCTATTTAAAAAGATAAAATGACACATTATTATAGCCACTTTTTCCCTGTACAAGATACTAGTTTTAAATTTTAAGTCTAACTGACATGGTTTCGGAGAAAAAAACCTAAAATAACTGTCCACTTTAGAAACATTTTGCAAGTAAAGAGATGGTTAAAAATTTCGAGTTTTTGACCAAAAACCGATTTTGCTAAGTTGTCAGACAACAGTGATGGGGCTGATTTACTGAAGCTCTGAAACTATGAAAAAATGTCAAATAACTTCGAAACCATGTCAGTTAGACATCATACTAACAAAATCATACTTTTTTTATGAGGAATTCAAAAATGCCATCAGAAAAGATCATCATCAACATTGTAGTACCTAGGTATATGGTAAATTAAAAACGTATTATATACGTTTGTCAGGTTAACACTAAAAACCGTTTATTTATCTACTTATTTTCAACGTTTCTTATACCAGTTTTGTTAGATTATTATGACATAAATAATACGTACTTTTGATACGTAGAATATGCCTAATTTTTATTCGTATTTAGGAGGAAGTAAATATACCAATGTGCCAGCATGGTAGATCAAAGAGGTATTAAACGTAAGTGTGTTGGCTGGGTAGCCTCATTGTACGAATATTTTCGACGCGGCAAAATCAACATTTTGCTTAAAGTGGCCATAACTGGTACCTCTACCCTAGACTGACAGCTAGCCGGAGCACGGTTATTTATATAATTACATATCAAGAACCACCCCCAATTTAATTACGATATCCGAAGATTAATCAGAGGTGAGATGGAGTAGAAGAAATATTTGTAACATCCGTTACAGCATGATAATGCAATTAAATTTTGAAAGGCCTTATTATTCTAAATTTAAAGACGCCCGAGATAACATGATCCAATCAGTTGTTGTGAGCTTCTGGTCATCAATTCTGAAAACGGAAATTCAAAGTAAATCTTGTAGTTTCATGCTTACTGATGCTATAGGATTTGTTACTGGCCGCAGTGGGAACCACGCCAATACTTTTTTGAGCAGGACATCCAGGATCTCTCACGATAGCTTTAAATTTTTCATATCGAAGATACTCGAACTTTAAATTTTGCGAAACAAACCCCTATCAGATTACTTCTTCAACGCACGAAAAGCTGAACTCGACCAAGCAATCAGAAATGAAAATTTTCTTTCGAATAAAAGCGCCTTTTTCACTAGAGGCTCAAACAAGGCGCTTGTACCGATCACAATGCAACCGAAAATATATTAATTAATATTCAACGGCTTGATTGTGACCCTTAACCCGCTTATCATAATTGCAAATTAACAATTAGATATGCATATGAGCCGTAAGAGAATTGGTTAAAGACCTTTTCGGAATGTCCAACGACATGGGGTGGTTTCCTTACTTATTAAGTTCGAATTTACTGCAGATACAATTCCAATTGGCATAATAAATTTAGAACAAGTTACCGATAGGATAATGTTCGTTTAAGGTACATCGGTTATAGCGTAGGTAAATCATAACAACATTCCTATCTAAATTATCTTATTCTAATAAAAAATATCTGAGGTTATCTGTGTAAGTTTAATTTGTGTTTAAGTTATTAATAAAGTATACGTCGTTCACCCTTAAGTCGCGGACTACTTTGTAATCCTTACTTAGTGTGTGTTTGTGTCTTATTATGAAAGCGTGTTCTTTGTTACGTTCGGTTTTACGTTTTCTACAACTATTGCACCGTTGCACGTTAATTGTTTAACAAGACAAAATTAAAAAGAGATTTGCATGAAAGAGATTCTAAGATTGTTTAGTGCATTACCTGTCCACGCATAGAGAAGGGCGCTGCTGTACGAAAGCACCAGGTAAGCAGCGGGCAGGTATCGCGCGCTCCCAGCCCACTATTCAAAAGTATCTGTACAGTATTCTAAAATACGAGCTTTGAGTAGCACCGCGTATGCACCTGTATTTGCTTCCATCCGACGGCTCAACAAGTGTTCGTATATGTGCATATGTTTATGTTAAGACATTAACGGTCACCTACCTACATCGGCTTTATGCCTTTTGTAATTTGTGCCTTAAACAGTGCTCTACACTCCGCTTGAGGAAGTATTGAATTTAAGTGCCTTTTTATATCCTCCGTTTTATGTGTACTTTTACAACGTGCAACTAGTGCAAAAAAATTCGATTGTGACGATCATTTATAACGGCAATTATTTCCTTATTAAATCGCCGCATAACGGAAAATCCGAGAAAAGCGCTTCCGAATATTTTCCGATAGAATGTGTCGACGTAAAGTGCCTTAAGAAGTAATAACGTGCCTTAGTACCTATTTTGTTGTTATGGCTTCCGACGAGGATTGTAATACGACATACACATATCCGTAAGTAATTTGATTGTATTCACTAATATTGATGCGGAGGGAAAAAAAGCTAAAATGGAAAAGCGCCGTCACTAACGCATTTCAAAATGAAAATGAGCCTGAAAGATTTAATCGAGCGTTACAAAGTACTTATATGTAATGGGACACGATGATAAGGGCCTATTTATAGGAGCGAGGAAACTCCTTCAAAAATATTTGACGCTAGGTACCCAATTTATTGCCCGTTTCGCGAATTTTATCTTCAACGCGTGCGATAAAATTGAGATAAAATTCCACCGGATGTTTTTTTATGCAAATGCAAAAGAGTGCCGTTTGGGAATCTTTTGTAAGAGTAATGTTAGCCGCGCTTTCAGTCGGCAGCCACAACGGATCGAAAACAAAAGAAAATCGCTCATTACTATTTGGCATTGGAATGTTTTCCAAAGTGTCAGGTAGTGGAGGTTCATTGCACGTCGAATATTTCGCAAATATTGAAATAAAATCGTAGTCTCTCCCGTTTCTACTTGCTTCAAAAGACGATTAACATCACGAATGACAAATGTGGCACAACGCTAACGAGGGATGCTGTTTATATTGAGTATTACTAGTTATTTTGGTAGTATTTTCATAACCTTCGCTAACTCTATCGATAATAAATGTTCAACGGAAGCGGCCACATTTGGTCAAAGAGATACTAAAATATGTGCCTTTAAAAAGTGGTCACTAATGCTGTTGGGCGAAGTTAAACTGAACAAGCAAAATATAGGGATCTTTTGCTTGATTAATGTATAATTTTCTTGCCACTCAATTTTGTTCGTGGTTACCGCACGTATTGTTGAAATATCTTGTAATCCGCCAACTTCCTTTTCGTCATTTTTTGAGGCTAAAAGCTAAAACATTCCAGATCAGTATATACCCATCGTCCAATCAACCAAAAGTTCTGTGAAGAAGTAAATTATTACGATTTTTTTCGCGCAAATGTATATCTGCATCGACACCCTTAACGTGCAGTCTCGCCCTCACATTCACGCACATCGTGTAAGAAAAGATTCCCTCGACTAAATTTACACTTTGAACCGTTCTCAGTGGTAGAAATCATAATTTTCATCTCAGCCAGCATGGAAATCTAAATAGCCGGATCGAAATTATAGGACTAGTGCTCATTTTATGAAAACCTTCCAGAAATCTTGTAGTTTCTGAAGGCAACAAGAAGATTCACATCGAAATCTTCCACAATCGTACCAAAATCACGAAATTTAACGAAATCCCATGCATAATCCGAATTTTGTAGTCGCAGAAATCACGATGATGGAAACCCCATTTCCATAGTCCGTAGAAATCGCAATTCTAAAAATCATAGGATTTCAGGTACATGCAATATAAAAAAACAAGTGGTAAATCCGTCGCACTCTCGCGGTTTATTTTTTCACATACAGTCTATACTAATCAAGTCAATAATCAAGTCCATTTTTGTTAAAGGAAGCGAGCGAGATAGGTACAACCTTCACTGTTGCTGATGTTTCCGAATTTATTTCATGGGGTATAGGCATACAGTGTCAGGAGAAAAACGAATTATTCCCGTAGCTTGAAATTCTGATGTAGCATTGCGCGCTATAGGTACAACTGTCTGCCCAGGTTTGCAGTTTTCAATTTTCTTTATTGGAATTTCTTTTCATGTACCAGGATTGTATGATAGGTAAGTCCTCGGTTTGGAGTCCAGCCAGCGTTTCTCTAACCCTACCATCTCCGTCCGGAAGGGCTTTTCCTTGAGCTCCTCAAGATAGGTGTTCACACGCCCTTTCACCTCGTTGTTTATGGAAATTTTTTTTCCAGTCAGATAAACAGACAGTACGAATGCCGTTTCTCCGCCCGATTGCTGTCTGTAAACGGGCAAAAGTGTGAAATAGTACTCCCTTTTTACCTTTTCGACCCACGCAACCGTCTTCGCCTTTTTCGGAGCCGATTTGTTCCTTATAGTCCACTGTCCTGACTGTTGCCTATTCTCGAAAGTGTAGTGGTGAATCTAAGTTTCGTCCGTAGTAACACAAAAGTCCACCTGAATCTTTTGCAACAGGCTCAAACCCTCCTCAGATTTCAGCGCCCGAACTTGTTTTCGATCCATCGTCATGCAAGCACGGCACATCTTCTTCATGTGCAATTCATACTGCAATAAATGATTTCCGTTGAAACGACCACACTGTCAGCTCAGTTACGCACCTTTATACGCCGGTCTTCCATTACCAAATTGTGGAGTTTGTCGATGATTTCTGAAAGAGGAGCGGAAATCGGCAATGCTGAACTGTTTCGTACAAAGGGGTTAAATAACCCAACGTAATAATGGCTTTCGTGAATCACCTTCGCCAACGTCTTCTCCACATACCCCACAAAATTGTACACATGTCGTCACTAAATATCATTACGAAGCAACAGACTTTTCAAATGACCCTCGTAATTGTTGGAGCTTTGTCGAGAAAGAGGCTCGTCTGCAAATGCCATCATTTCGCATAAATTGCAATGAGAAAAGTATGACCAGCGAGAACGTTTCGCATAGGTTTGCAGAACATATACAATGTTCCTAGGGCCAGATGAAAATAATTTCAGTGTTGATGAGCGAGCCAGGGGGGATCTATTTTCCCCTAGATACAGGAAATGGATATTAAAGGTTCTCTCTCCGTTACAGCAAACAATTATGCTCTTTCTCACCCGAAGAAATAGAGCTAATAGCCTTTAGATCACTGGTTTGGCGTTTAGTTATAATCTCTTCTCCTAAATATTAAGAATATTTCCGGTCTTATCAAAATGTTGATGTTCAATGAGTACGATTTCCATCAAAGAAAAATAGCTTTGTACGGTTTCTCGATTCAGTGCAGTGGAGCATGCAACAGACGCCTTCTGAAATTGACTCTAAAATGCGAATTGTGATTTAAAAATAGTTGCAACCAGTCGCACATCCAGCCATTTTCATAGACCAAATGCCATATATAGGGTGTCCCGTGGCTCGATGGACATAGCTTAACGCCATATTCTTTGGTCAATTTTAAGACGAAATTTCCCTATACACTTTGCCCAAAACTCGATAGTTAAGAAGTTATTGGCAATATTAAATTTAACAATAAATCAATCTAGTGAGCCATTAATTGTTTTGTCATATTGTTATGGTGACACTGTTTATTCTTTGACGTAATTTTACGATTAAATTGATATGGCTATGTTTTCAAATCAAGAATATGCGGATATTCACTTTACGGATACTGCGACGGAAATGCAAGTGCGACAGTGAGGGCATATTAGCGGAGGTTACTTACCTGATCGAAGAATACCTAATAGGCCACATCAATTTAATCTTAAAATTACAAGTATACGTGAAAGAATAAACAATGTCTCCATAACAATTTGACAAAACAATTACATGACCTACTAGATTGATTTATTGTTAAATTTAAATATTGCCCATAACTTTTTAACTATTGAGTTTGAAAATTGACCGGTGTTAAGTTATGTCCATGGAGCCACGACACACCGCCTGTATTTTGCTAGTCGCGGTGACCGTTGCTGCTTCGCGCTCCGTTTATTGCATTTTTCTTGAAATTGCGTGCCTACACACAAATTTCAGATTTGCTTTTTTGAATGAGCATAAAATCATATGAAAAAACAGTACCTACAAAATGTGCAAAGTCAACATAGTTTCATTGTTACCGTAAATCGGGGACGAGATAGGTGATTTTTACGTTTTCCTCGAAAATTTTAGAAAGAACCCTTTTAAAAGAGTAAGGTCCCCTTAAATGAGTCTACTATAGAAAAATTTACCTTTCATCTAATAAACCGTCACCCCTACGGAAAATTTCAAGGGGACAAAAAAATCTTTTATTCAGTTCATCTGCACACCGTCTGCACAATGAAATAGTTATTTGTACAACTAGAACAGAAAGTAGAAAAAAAAACACTTTTTTCTACAACTGTCAAAGAAACCTGTCATTTTCTGACGAATTTCGAAACGCGAAGTCCTAGATTTTTAAACGGTTAATTAATAAGTAAGGTGGCTCTTGACAATGTGCGCGAAAGCGACAACAGTGAAAAAAAGTATTTCGCGCACGTGACAAAGTTGAACTTAAACAGCAAATTTAATTAAAAATCGGTTCAGTTGTAGAAAAAATATTGTTGTATATAACGCTAGCGCGAAATTATTTCACGCATTTTACTGATATTTTAACTCAGCTTCGCCTCGTCAAAATACCTTCAGTCTCAATGCGCGAAATTGAACTTCGCGCTCTTGTAATATAAATAACTATCTTCTCAAGTTTTACACATAATTTTTTTTGTAACTAAAATCAAAATTGATAAATTATCGTATGCAATAATGAAGTTTGACACATAGCAATCTAGATAGGGGTATGTTTCAATTTTAAATGTCATTATTAAGATTAACGCAGCAATTGTTTTCTACTTTCCTCACTAGAGCGGAAAATCACATTTTCTTGATCCTTTTTAGAGACGAAAGCAGTTGTTTCTAAAGTAGTTTCAGAAAAATAATATTTTCAGTTGTGTTGTGTGTGGTGGGAAGGTTTAACTTTTTTAAGCGTTTTGAGACATACCTATCTAATTTTCATAAATTCCCTTCACAATTTGCGTAGTGAAAGGTTTCGAACTAAAAGTAAACTAATAGTCAGTATATACACAAATGAAAACACTATTTCGCATTTGTTGCATGAGAGGGAGTTTATGAAGTTGTTTTCCGAATTCTGCTAATGGGAAATGGAAAATCCGAGAGAAAATCCCACTACCACTCATTTTTTGTTTTATCACCTGTTACACCCTGTACAGTTTTTTTCATAATCCAAGTAGGAAATATCCAATTTCTTTTCGCTTTTCGCAAACGCACCGTCTCTTGTAAAATGTCAGTAAAAATATTTATTTTCTTGTACTATATATTTTACAGCAGTTTTTCCTGTAGAGCTTTTATTTGTTTATTCATTTTTATTATCAATTTTTTCCCAGCTTTTTTGAAAAGTTAAAATTTATAA